AGGATGCAGAAAAATAAAAACATAAGACAAAGAATGGGGTCCGGATGCAGCTCAAGACTGCAGCACCGTTTATTTTTAACTTTCCCTAATATATACTGATAGAAGTCAAGAGGTAACATAAGGTTACAATAGTCCAGAAAAACAAGGAAAATCTCAGCAAAAACAGAGTGCAGTAAAAACAAGACAAGGTCAACTGGTAGAAAGTAAAACAAACTCTGCAGATATAGCAAAGCAAAGCAATCCTAGGCACCTGGTGATTTTTAAGTAAGCCAGTTCCTTGTTCGTGCCCCATGTTGAGCACCAGGGTCAAGATGACCAACTTTACAGTTGGCTCCCAACATGGCTCAAGTGGTAGAGCCTTAGCCTTGAGCAACAGAATCTCAGGTACAGTGCTTAGGCCATTAGTTCAAATCCCAGGACTGGCAAACAAAAGTTAATTAATAACCAGCAAAGAGTCAGCCTGGATATATGATTCAAAAGAGCATCAGCCATGAACCAAACAAGCAGAGCAAGTGCAAAACCTTGAGTTCAAATCCTGATACTGTCTAAATAAAACAAAACAAAATAGACACATACAAGGGCTCAATCTCAATTTCACTGTTGTAGTTTCATACTCCTAGTAGTGAAAGGGTAGTTGAAAAGTTTGGTAGATTAGTTAGGACCTTTGGAAAACATCTTATAGGGGAAGACAAAGCTGGCTTGTCTATATTGGAGACAAGACTTGAAAAAGTGCAAGTTTGTTTCAAAACTCCCAATGGCAGAGACTACATTTGCAAGTTCTGCATAATTTTCATTTTTGAGGTGCAGGGAAAGTGGGAAAGGCAAATGTAATTGCAAACTTTAGGCTTACAGACCCACAGTGATTCAGAAAATCATCTCTGATTGGTCAGTTGTGTTATACTTCATTTGCATAGCACCAGCCAATCAGAGTCCAGCCCAGGGTATAAAATCCCCTAGACTCAAGACACTGGAAAGCAGATCCACTGCAATCTTTCCCCTTGGCAGTTGATTCTCCTGAATAAAGTTCTTCAAGCTGCTCAGTCTTCACTGTCTGGTGAAAACCTGACACACATATACTCTCAAGTCACCTGTTTTATGATTTTTTCAGTGTATATTATTTGTATCAAGGGTTTTCTTTTTTCTTTTTGGTCCCTCATGGAGCTTGAACTCTGGGCACTGTCCCTGAGCTCTTCAGGTCAAGGCTAGTACTCTAGAACTGGAGCCATAGCGCCACTTCCTGCCTTTGCTGTTTATGTGATGCTGAGGAATTGAACCCAGGGCCTCATGCCTGTGAAGCAAGCCCTCTACAGCTGAGCCACCTTCCCAGCCCCAAAGGGTTTCACCATGATGGCACACATGCATGTATTGTCTTTTAACTAGAATAATAGCGTGTATTGTTGTTTTCCCCATCACACAAGCCCTTTCTTTTCTCCTGCCTCTCCACCCCACTCAGTCTGCACTACTATTAGGGTTTGACCTCAGAATTTTGCATTTTCTTGGTTTTTCAGTCACAGCTTGTACTCTTCCACTTGAGCCATGATACAGTCCCAAAAGAGGTACCAAACAGCCTCTAAAAAATAGTATTGTTATTAAGGTGTTGTACAGAAAAGCTACCATCTCATAAGTAGTAAGTACATTTCTTATATTTTGGACAATGTGACCAAATCATCCTCTTTACAAAGAAAGAAAAAGCCTGAGTTGCCATACAGCCCAGGTTACCCTTGCTTTCCCCTCTTTTGTTTTTGACAGCTGTGCTACACAGCCCAGCAGCCACAGTTGCACAAGCACCACTGGGAACTTTGATTTCTCCCATGGGAGACCATGAACGATTGGTGGAAGTTACCTAGTTAGCTACTTCTCTAAAAGCTTTGTGAATACACAGCTTCCCAGAGACATGTGTATGCTCACACTGTGTGGATATGCAGTGGCACCATGCACACACCCATAGAAGTGGCAACAAGGAAGCATACATCTGTGTGAACACTGAAGAGCCATGCATGACAGAGGTGGGGACCCAACTCTGTAAGAAAGTGAAAAAAAGGGGCTGGGAAGGTGGCTCAGCGATAGAGCCCTTGCCTTGCATGCGTGAGGCCCTGGATTGATTCCTCAGCACCACATAAGCAGAAAATGCCTTAAGTGGCACTGAGGCTCAAGTGATAAAGCGCGTAGCCTTGAGCTGAAGAGCTCAGGGACAGCACCCAGATCTAGAGTTCAAGCCCCATGACCAACAGAGAGAGAGAAAGCAGAAGGAATAGTAATAATAATAAGCCATGTGTCTCCATATGCACTGCCCAGTTATCAGTCAGACTCATCCGCAACAGGCAAGATCTGAGGTAGTTCAAAGCCAGTCCAGTGAAGGAAAATCTATGAGACTCTCCTCTCCAATTAGCCACCAAAATTCCAGAAGTAGAATTGTGGGTCAAGTGATAAAATACTAGCCTTGAACAAGTAAAAGCTCAGAAACAGCCTTCAGGTCCAGAGTTCAAGCCTTAGGACTGACACACACAAAAACAAAAACCTACAGAAAATGCAAGATGGGTTTCAAAGATCCTAGCTGTGCAAAAAAGACCCACCCTGCATCCTCCCTGTTCTACAGAACTAATTGAAAACTATAACCTGAGTTCTGTAGCCCACCATCACTCAGTGGCTCTTCTCTGATTCGTCAGTTGTCATATACCTCATTTGCATAGGGGCAACCAATCAGAGCCCAGCCCAGGATAT